CTTATACCCCGCCCCGCAAATTGACCTAGATCAGCTTGTAAGTTAACCCAAAATGTTCGGCATAGTACCAGGTATTAGGAATTAAAGTCACTACTTAAAATATTCAAACGAATTTCCTCAAAATTTCTACTTGAAATACTGTATTGTATATTTCTACTACTGTAGTTAACCTTAGGTCATCCGTGTAAATTAAAAACACAGGGCTTAATATTACCATGGATGGAATAATATAAATAATAATGTACACAACCTTGAGGTCATGATTGAATCAAATTATTTCCTTTAAACAATACCTCCTTGCTTTTACCACAGACCCTATATGCTTTGACCCAGCAAGTTGATAGATCCAAACTTTATTTATAACCATTAAGCGTGAAAGGTTACTCTTAGGTTTAATCAGCTTATAGAGCTTAACATTCCAGCCACTAATCACTGTAGGTACCCACTAATTCTCTTGGTGAAGCAATGCAACCAATAATGTATCTAGGAGTCTGGAAGTGGGGGTGCTGAGTGGGGGATGGGGGCTCAATGATAAGTTGTGGGGGTACTATAATAAGGTAATTTCAGGTGCTTTTTAACAACTTGACCGTGATTTTTTTTTTTGGGTGGGGGGCCCTGGGGGGTGCAAGTAATTTTTGGATACACCACTGAATGCAGCTTTAGTGTATTCTGAAGGATGCAAGGGAAATGAAACTGCCGACCTTGAGGTTGGGAAACTTTTTTATATATGTTACTGGTATCAGATCAATTAAAATCACTAAAAATGCTAAATAAAAAATGAATGAATGATTTCTTTTTGAATTGAGGTTTCATGATGTCCATATGTACCATTTAAACTTGAATGTAAAAAGACTAAAGAAGTCAGTTTAATCATGGAGGTATAAAACTTTTAACTTAACCAGTATAGTGGCCAGGCATGGATGCCCATCTACACAGTTTCAATTTTTTCCTTTTGTGTATTCAATTCAATTCAATTTATTCAATGATACGAGTACCAATACCATCTAGCTGTTTCGCTCCACTGCAGGATTAAAGCCCTTTTACTGACCTGCCTTTCATTCAATTTAAAAAACATATATTCACATCCTCAAACAGTCTAAATATATATTTAATAAGGGAAATAATAATAAAAAGTTAATCAGTGGTTTTCATAAACTAAATAAAAAGATTTAGAGTGGAAAGAGGGCAAATGCCCGAAAAGATTTGAAACAAATCTTGTGTTGGGCCAGCCTAAAATAAAAATACATAGCGCAAATTCAAAGCTCCATTTCTACCCTGAGACGGTTACTAAATGATCTGTTTTTGTCTGACAGTCATAAAATTATAATAAAAAAAAAAATACTGTAGAGGGCAGCAAACATAATATTATACTGGTTCATAAGCGCTAGAGAAAACTCCACATTATAAATAACTAGCCATTTTTACCCATCGGTTCTAATTATGTGCAGGCTCATATTCTTCATGGGGGAGGGGGAGGGCAATGGTGGGTGTGATGGGACAGTGAAAAATGTGCTGAATATAAAATTTGTTAATTTCTGTCATACAACCTTTAAAAGGGAGTCTTAAATATTACACATTTTAACCACTAATCTAACAGAACCCCTACAATACCAAAGTTGTGATCTAAACGGCACTTCAGCTTGAAGTCGACAGGGGTTCTAAGTGACCCAAATTGTTCAATTTTTGCATAATCTTGCATGGCTGAATGGCAATCCTGGCTACGGCCTTGTCACAGAGTGATTATTATTATTATTATTATTATTATTATTATTGAAGACTAGTGTATTGCTATTATTATTACTATTAACATTATCACTAATTCTATGTGATGATTGTTATTGTTATTATTGTTATTGTTATTATTATTATTACCGGTATTATTACTTTTACAGTATTAGTAATATTATGTGGAAAGACTATATATATATATATGTTGCTCATACGTTTTATATACACTTTGTATATACCTGGATATTTTGGTATGCTAATTTTAATTAAGCATATGCAAATTATTCATATTAATTTTGGGATGATTGTGAGGGGTGTGTACTGTGTAGACGGCAGTTGTATTGAGGAAGATTTGCTGAGTGTGAAACAGCTCAAGAGAGGTCAACGCTTTGAAAGGATAAAAGATAGGCCTAAAGGATTGGAAATATCCCTAATCCTGCAGTATGTAGATAAGTGTGTAGCCTAGAATGTTCTTGATATTGCAAGAAACTGTGGTGGAATTGAGACGCCCAAGTTTTATGGTTATAATACTGCAAGAAAACTGTGGTGGAATTGAGACGCTCAAGATTTATGAAGCTATTGCAGGAAAGCTGGGGGAATTGAGCCGCCCAAGTTGATCTGTGTTACTTCGGTAGAACCAAGCAGACATACCGTGAGCACATTTCGATTTTAAACAGTTAAACAGCATTTGGTATTTATACATTTATGATACCGTATTATATTTTTATTATTATTATACCATACACTTTTCATTGTTATAGTCGGAAGTTTTGAAAATTAAATATGGTTTTGTTTGAATTACAATAATTTGTACTCAGTCATTTCATTGGTCGAAATTGTCAATCGTAGAGCTTGTGACAGGCCCTAAATTGATGTCTACCATTTAAATTTCTACCTTTTTGCATGCAAGTAAATCTGGAATTCTTTATACTGTACTGGTCATATAGTGTATGTCACTATTGGTAAAGATAAGAAGCAAATCAATTTTAACCATAACTTCAAGACTAGTTGGTAGGAGCTATAAAAATTTGATGATAATGATGATATATTTAATGATAATAACTTTATTCTTGATATGGAATCTGTTAACTGGGGTGATATAGCACGTGCCATGACAGCATTAATGATGCACTTGATGATTTTGAATCCAAATTCTTAATATTGCTAATCGGCATCCACCACTTAGGAAAAAAGAGTTCGTCACAAAGAATCCCCGTCGTTCACAGATGAACTGATAAATGAAATACGCAAAAGAGATTTGTTTAAAAAGAAGGCAAGCAAGAAGGCAAGATGGAAACAATGTTAATTCCATGATTAAAAAAAATCAAAAAACATTATTTTTCTGAACATTTAAATACAAATAACTCTAGGAAAATATGGGGAAACATAAGAAATATTATACCTAGTAATATGGAGGAACAGAGAAATAAATAATATTAAGAAAAGGGAATAAAATCAAATCCATTAGATATTTCAAATACATTTAATGAATGTTTTTCTACTGTGGGACCTAAATTGGCAGAAAATATTCCCAAGAGTAAGGATGATATGATTACTATCAATCCACTAGAATTGATCAATTTTCGTTCTGTCTAGTTGATGAAGAATAGTTTTATAAAACAAATTCATAAATTATCAGCTAAAAAAGCAACTGGAAATGACGAAATACAGAGTACACTATAAATCAAATTAGCAATTAATTCCATTTTAGCACCTATCACTTATCAATTATGTCCTTATCTTATAAAAAACTGGCTTTCGACACACTTTTCAACATCCTCTATTACCTTAAATGTAACAGAAGATTGGTTTGATGCGATAGACAAAGGGAAGTATGTTGCCTTATCATGTTGGATTTGGAAAAGGCTTTTGACACTGTCAATCATGATAACCTTATCAAAAAATTAAATAATTTTTACATAAATAGAAACGTAATAGCCTAGTTCAAAAGTTACCTATCAGGACGTATTCACACCACTAATGTAAATGGTGTATCTTCAAAGCAATGTCAAAGCGTTTCTGGCATACCCCAGCAATCTATATTAGGTCCAATTCTATTCTTGTTATATGTTAGACTATTCTAAATGCTATAGAGTGGACTCAGAAAGTATCCTGGACATTAACTGGACACAGAAGTTAGTATCATGACTCAAAATAATGACCAAATTATATGAATCCTATTTTAAATCATGTAAATATATTGCGAAAATGTGAAATACAATGTTCAAGATTTCCTACCAGTACCATTAAGATGAATGAAGATGCTTAATCCTTCATGAATAAATTACAGTGCATACAAAATATAATGAATATCTGTGAGTGTAGATATTTACACTTGAAAATACACACAGAACAACATAATTTTTAAGTTAGCCTGTCGGCGACAGGCATGCTAATGAGATGTACTACCACTTGAATTGTATCAAGTTTTTTAATAACAAAAGTCTTGTGTCGTGTGGTGTTTGCTTTTAGTAGGTCTTAGCAAATTACAAAAGCAGTTTTAATTATTCAGTCAGTATAGAATGTATATACAGTACTGTACATTCATGGACAGATCTAATTTTCACAACCAGTCTTAAATAACTGTATGCCTACAGTATTATGTAATACTAATAGACCTATTATCAAATAGGATTTCATATAGTGTATACAATATTTGTATATTAACGATCTAGTCCTATGCCTTGTTTCTTTTATATTATATTTCTTTAGGGGGGGGGGGCGACGGGGCCCTGACTTCAGGGTACCCTGAACCTCGGAGGCCCCAGATCACTGAACCGCAGGTAGTTATACTATTGGATGATAAGGCTGAGGCGAAAAAAGGTAAAGTTTCTTGAATCTTTAAATGCCTGGAAATGGCACTTGCAGACCGTAAAAATGCTTTTCTGTGTATCCCGACAATATGATTAGCTCCTTCCCCGTGAGGGGTTTTGCGCTTTTCAGACCATGACTGGCACTGCCACTGGGAAACTTATCTCAAATTGTTGTGCTAACAAATTCTATTTTCTGCCAGTCTTCCATATTTTTCTTACTCTTTTGCAATAGCTGTACCTGTAATTCTGTTTCTGTTGACCCATCTCAGATTTGCTCCTCCACTGTCAAACAGCTTCTCGACTTATAATTTTTTGTTGTTTTTCTGATTTTATTTATATTAATCTGTCCTTTTTTTCTGTGAATTCTCTTATATAGTGAATTTGTGATTGTTTACGCGGATATTGGCCCACGGTGGTTTTTGTAGCAATAAAAGAAATTGAATTGAATTAATTAGATACCTTTCCTATGCACTGTTTTCTTTCTTGTAGATCATGCCGTATCCATAGCATTACAGCATTAAATATATCTTCTTCATTTGCTATGTTCACCTCTTCATTTGACATAAGCTCTTCCACCTTAAAATTAATGACAATAAATTTCATTTGTAAAACATTAAACTTGAAAAGGAAATAGTAAATTCTGGCCATTTGTTGCGATTTATAATTTCCCACAAGCACCCAAAAGGAATCAGAATTTTGAACATTTTTAGGTTAAATTATATAAAAGAAAATTTAAGAACATTTCTGCAAAATATTAATCACTAAATCTAACAGAAAATTATTTTTAAAATACACAACTTAATAAGCTGTTTCTCAAAACCACCATGGCTGATAATATCCAATGAATTAAATATTCATAACTTTGCTAACACTCAACCGATTTCCATCAAATAAATACAGTTTTAAAGAAGAATTTACGCAGAATCTAAAAACACCATCATTTTTCCACCAGAGCTGGTCACAATCAGAATTTTTGTAACATGGTTACTTTCTACCTTTCATTTATATGACACCGGTCTTTTGTCTTTTGATAGTCAACCTATCAATCAATCCATCAATTAAAAAAAATCAGTGGGTTAAATCTGTGACGACTATATACGGAGATTAGAAACGACCTGAGATTTCCTTTATTCTTTCATCCCGGTGATATGTTGACTGTGGCTAGCTTTTGTTATGCAAATTTTGTACAGTCAAGCAAACACTCTTGCAGCCAACAGAATGCTACTGCTCATGCTCAGTTCATAATCTCTGGACCAACTACCGAATAAGCTTGTAATAGGTAAAGAAATGGCTACAAGAACAGGGAACAACCTAAACAACAACAGAGCATATATAAAAACAAATGTAACGAATTCAATGTTTTTCCAAGCTGTCACTGAAAATGATATTGTGAAATATATTAGAAAATTAGATAAGAATAAGTCATGTGGTCATGATGAGATCATGGTAAAACATATTGTGAATAATGCTGATATATTATCTAAGCCTATTGCCCACATTGTTAATACCTCGCTCAGAAGTGGAATATTTTCCGAGCAGTTAAAAATAGCGAAAATTGTGCCGGTCTATAAAAAGGGGGATAAAGAGAATACCAGCAATTATCGACCAATATCTATTGTACCATGCTTATCAAAAGTATTTGAGAGAGTCGTGTATGACCAGACATTGTCATTTATACATAAGCATGATTTACTTAATAGCAAGATGCAATATGGCTTCAGAGAGGGTCACTCTACTGAACATGCCCTACTCCAAGTATTAGAAAAAATCATGAATGCAATTGACAATAGAATGTTTGTAGTAGGAGTCTTTTTAGATTTATCAAAATCATTTGATTTAATTAATCATCAAATACTACTTAATAAAATTAGGTATTATGGTATAAGAGGACTTGTCTTTGACTGGTTCGTAAGTTATCTGTATAAAAGAAAACAATATGTATATATTAAAGGGCTAAAATCTGAGTACAGAGAAATCTTATATGGAGTGCCACAGGGCTCGATTTTAGGGCCTCTGCTTTTCTTGTTGTATATAAATGATATGCCTGATGTTTGTAACAGATCTGACGTTATTATTTTTGCAGATGATACAAATGTATTTCTGCAAAATGTAAATATGGCGTTTACCATTATGAATAGAGAGCTCGCTCACTTAAGCTCATGGTTCTTAGCAAATAAACTAATTATCAATGTCCCAAAGACAAAATATATAATTTTCAGAGGTAAAAATAAACC